AAAAAAAAAAAAGATACAAGGAAATGTTGTAAATATGTTTGAGAATACAAAATAAATAAAAAAATATATTAATAATCAAAGTAATATAATAACAAAAAAAAAAGAAATAGAAATGGTTTAATATTTAATAGTTTAGTAAAAAGAAAAAATATGAAAATAAATTATATATTTTGATATTAAAAAAAAAAAAAAAAAAAAACTATCTAAGTTAAAATGTAAAATTTCATTATTTACAATTCTTTTCATTTATGTGAATTTTTTGTATCTAATATTCATATATTTTTTAAACGTACATTTGTGATGATAATAAGAAAAAAAATTTTGTTTTCATTAATATTATTATATTTATTGAAGACATTAACTTATAGAGGAATTTAAAAAATTAAAGTTTGATATGAGTAAAATTTTAATATTTTCACTTCATCTCCATATTATTCTTTATTTATTATTTTTTGTTTTCCTGATATTGCAATTTTTTATATTTATATCATATTATTTAGTTATACAGGAGACATTTTTAAAATGTGTATTTTGTAATTAAAAAATATAAAAAAAAAAAAAAAAAAAAGTATACATAGTTAAAGAAATAATTAATTCATTAAATAAGATATTTTTAAGTTTTTAAGGAATTAGTGATTCTAAAATTGTATGTTTTCCTATATTTTCTCTTGCAACTTTTAATTAACAACATAATATATTGGACACAATTGTGATCAAAAATATTATTTAAAATATTTTATATATATACATATATGTTGATTTATTATATGCCTCATGATAAAATATGCATTATATATAGATATTTGGTTGTATGAAAAATTGTTTTGCTTAAAAATTCTTAAAAAATTTTTTAATGTATTCACGTGTGTAAGAATAATTTATAATTTTTTTTTTTTTTTCTATAGATGTTATAAAATATTCATTTGATTTTACTATTCAAATAAGATATATATTTTTTTTTTAACTAATATTAGAGGTTAATTAGTTTTAGGTTTAAAAATTATTATAAGTATCTTTTGTTTTATTTGTGATTATATATTAATAATTCATAGATTTTAGAAAATTTAATATTAATTTTTTTTTTTTTTTTTTTAATAGGAAAAAAGTTTTATAGGAATAGAAATAATCTTCCTTTTAATAATAAATTTTTTTATTTTCTTATTCTTAAAAAGAGAAAATTTTTATTATAATAAATTTTTATAGACTAACATTATAATCTTGTTATATAAACGGCATGTATTAATAATTTAAGTAGCCACATTTATGAAATCATGAAAAAAAATAAAATTATAAGAAAATAATATAAATAATATATCCTTTTTTTAAGAAATAATTGAGTATGTTTTAAAATTTTCTTAACTATTTTTATTTATACAAATACAGGAAGACACCTTTAGTTTAATATTATTTTTTGTTTTTAAATATAACAATATAACAAAAAACTGTAATAGACTTTCTTAATTTTTCCTTTCATATTATTTTTAAATAAAAAGCATTTAAAAACTATAACTAACATTTTTTTTTTTTTAATTCTTCTATAATATCTTTTAATAAATGAGAAATTATTTTAAATACAATTTTAATGTAAACAAGTAAAAATTTTGAAAATAAATTTTAATTGAAATATGCTAACATACAATATTAAACAATCAATCAATAAATGTTTGTTTAAAAAAAAAAAAATATTTTCATTTCTATTTGAAAAAAAGAACTATTTAAACATTGTTAAATTATGTAAATTAAATAAAAAAAAAAAATATTTTCGCATTTATAAGTTAAAAAATATTTGTTTTTTTACAACAATTTTTTTATTTTTAGTACAAAATTTTTTATAAAAAAAAAAAAAAAAAATTAAATAAAAAAATCTAAAAATATTTCTTATTTAATTAAATAAAATAATTTAAAAATATTTCTTATTTAATTAAATAAAATAATTTAAAAATATTTCTTATTTAATTAAATAAAAATATTAATTCATCTATATTTTAATTTTATCATAAATGGAATAATTAAATGATTACATAATTAAATTTTTATAAAGAATAAAATTTTCAGAAATATTTATATAAATTGATAATGAATAAATTATAATGCTATAACATTTATGAAAATGGATTTAAAAAGAAATTCTTCCAAAAAAAAAAAAAAAAAAAACATACTAAACAAAAAAAGTAGTAAAATTAATAACAAACAATCGAAAAAAGGATTGTTAAAAAAAAACAAATACGAGAAAGATAAGTTAGGTGAACTTTATAAATTAGAAATTGAAAATTTTAAAAAAGAAAAAGACCAAAAAAATGAAAAATTAACTGAGAATCTTGAATTGATAAATGATGATTACGATAATATAAAAGAAATATCAAAAAAAGTAAATGATCAGATAAATTTATATAAAGTTTTATTAAGAACAAGAATTTTATCTCAAAAAGTATTATCTTTATCTAATAAATTGCCACTATTATCATTTGTTTCTTTAAAGGATAAAATGTTAGATAATGATAATTTAAGTAAAGACATTAGAAACTCATTAAATGAAGTGAAATGTAATGAGGAAAAATTAAAAGATGATATTGGAGATCTATTAACCATATTGCATAATTTTTTGAAAAAATATTTTTTAAAATGTGATATTCAAATTAATGAAAATTTGTTTAATGAACTAAATATAATAAATGATGAAGAAGATAAATTATTTTATGAAAATAGAAGAAAATTGTATAATGAAGATACAACAAAAAATGAAAAGAAACTCTTTTCTATTATTGATACGTGGTTTTTGTATTCTAAAAAAATGTGTTTAAATTTTTTTGATATTATGCATAAAATAACTAAAATAAGTTCAACAAAAAGTTTAAAAACATATGAGCAATCTATATCTTCTCAAATTAATCAAGTTATGTTTGAATTACCATCATTAATTGAAAATTCTTATCCAGAAGCATTAAATTATGAAATTGTAGGAAAAAAATTATATGAATTATTATATAAAGATGAAAGAAACTTTAATTTGAATAAGCACATTTATGATGATGAGGTTTGTTTTATATACTTATTTATATTCATATGTGATTTTTTTGCTTTTTTCATATAAACATAATGAACTTTATTTTTTTTTTTTTTTTGTAACTATTTACAACATATTTTTTTATTAGTTTTATTATTTTAATGTATATAGATAAAAAATTAATATAATTAAATGATTTTTAGAAATTTTTTACTTATTGTTTTTAATTTTATTTTTAGATTTACTACAAAAAGTTTTTATTGAATGCTATTCAAATTTTGAAGAATAATCAGTAATTAAGATAAAATACGTTTTATATATATATATATGCTATATTTATTTTTTATATAGTATAATGAGAAATAAAAATTTTTTTTTTTTTTTTTTTTTTAACATAGGGAAGACAGTGAATTGTTAAAATCACAAAGAGAAATATATAAGATTAAAAAAAAATGTAAAATTTTAGGAAACAAAAAAAAAAAAAAAAAATATTAATTTTCTTTTTATTTTCTTATTCATTTAATAAAACAAATATATTTTATTTTTTTTAGATGATAACAATAATGTAAATAGAGGAAAAATATTATCTTATGAACCTATACCAAAATTAGTTAATTTCATGGTTTGAATAAAAAATTAAACTATATTATAAAATAATTAAGAAAATTTAATTTTTTTTTTTTTTTTATTTATATTTTTCTTTTCATTTTTATTTGTTATTTATATTATTTCTTTTATTTGTAGTTACCTGAACCACCAGATTGGAAAAATGAAAGTTTATATGAATATGTAAATAATCCTGAATTAATTAATGTTCTTTTATCATCTTTGTTTCAAGATTAATTTCTTTTTTTTTTTTTTTTTTTTTTTT